GGAGCTGTATTAGATTAACATTAACATGCTTATCGTAGTTGTAAGTGCACTGTCTTGCGGCCTGTAGCACCATCCTTGATGGAAGGGAGTGAGCAGAGGGTCGAGTTGTCGATTCTTGTTCTGTTTTCTGTGACTATCTGCCTCTCAGACGCTGCTAAAGAGAAGCGCTACCATGGAAACCAAACAATAGTGTAGCTGTATTAAAGTCCGAGTGGAAACAGTCCTGAGTAAATCTGATTTTGTCAGAAATCGGGAGAAATATGACCCCGGGAGGAAACCGGGAGAGGGCAATGAAATCGGGAGTCTCCCACGAAAATCTGGAGGGTTGGCAAGTATGACTGGCATATGATTTGATTGGCTGGCGCTTCCGTCGACGCTTGAAAAGTTGAACTTTTCTCAACTTTCGAAGCGAGCAACGGAGGGAAAGCGTGACGTCACCCCATTGGGAAGTGAATGGGAAGCGTCTCCGTTGAAGCACGCGACGGAACCGTGTGGACGTACCGTAAGGGTCTATTGGCATCACAGTTAGTTGAAATACTTTGACATCAGCTACAAAAACAAGATAATATTAGCCTTTTTTGGGGAAATTCAGGTGTTTCCCAGCAACAGGAATAGGATTGAAACACTGGATAGCACAGGTAAGAGTTTACACAAGGATAAATAGGAATAAAACATATAATAAAATATAAACAATAGAATCCAGTGAAGCTGTTTTCCTCCACCTGAGTAGTTTGTGAAATTCTTCAGGTCATCGAGACAGATTGGCACACGAGCTCCAGAAATCAGCACCTGTTGAAACAAAAACAACACTCTGTAAGCGGTGAAAATGTCGCAGATGCATGGGACGTTTTTTAGGTATTTTTTGGGGACAGTTTATATATTTGTTGACCCAGCGTACCTGTATCTCCTGCTGGTCGAACATGCGCAGCCACTCCAGGTTGACCACGTTGGCGAGGCCCTGTCTGAAGGCCAGGCAGTGGGACCGGATCTGTTTATTCAGCCTATAATCAGCCACCAGGTGGATGTAAGCGATCCGATTGGCCGTGGTCACAGGAATGTCTTTGCCCCCCGTCTTTAGCTCCACCACCTGCGACGAAACACAACATGGATTTAGACGTTTTTCCACAGTTTGACGATGAATTGTCGTTTTGCTCAAGAACGTTTCTAACTCAGTGGAATGACCCGGAGGTGGCAGCCATGATAAGAGCTGAGTGATGAGCAGGTCAGCGTTTTCTATCACTCAAACCCACTTTACCCGTTAAAAACTGCACCTAAACCCACATTTATTTTGCTTCTTTCTTATTATATATCAGAGAATGCATATCATTGTGTTTCTTGGGGGCAGAATGACTTAAGAAAGAGAGAGAGGGATTTCATTGTGCCAGGTGGATTTAACTCAATCACAGGAAGGTAATTAAAATGTTTTCGAAGAGCACTCTGATTAAAGGTACGGCTCGTGTGTGTGTGTGTGTGTGTGTGTGTGTGTGTGTGTGTGTGTGTGTGTGTGTCTCTGTGACTGTGTGTGTGTGTGTGTGTGTGTGTGTGTGTGTCTGTGACTGTCTGTGTGCGTGCGTCTCTGTGAGAGAGAGAGAGAGAGAGAGAGAGAGAGAGAGAGTGTGTTTGTTTCATTGTTCCTAAATATAGCGGGAGCATCTGGTCCAATTTCATTTGGCCT